AAACAAATAAATAAATGAATAAAGATATGATATATTACAGCTTTTGAGATAAATAGAAAGCCATGATTCATATTGATATGAATGCATAAATGAGGGGGGAAAAGAGTTTTTTTATTTTAATATAACATCGTTTAATAAATTAATGATAGAAATAAACACCATTGATAGAATTTGCAACCATTGCAGTGGTGAAAGATTCAGGCTAAATGATCAATGGCTGCTAAATGCAGGAAAGTGAATTCTATTCTCAGATTATCTCCCTAAAAAATACTAATTACTTACAAAGATGGAAAGGTAACATTGTGGTACAGAAATATGGCAGAACCAATTTAACCAAATGATCCAGTTTGACAACACCCGCCAGTGGTGGAACAGGACACTATTGCATTCCATCTGATATGAGGCACTGAAAGAGCCACAACATCCTTTCTCTTCTATTCCTGCCTAAAATGTATGTCTTGACTGTTGATATGGGCAAAGTTGAGAGACACCGTACAAAATTAAAAGTCTCTACTCTAAAACTGCAAAGGTCCTGAGACATAGAATATACTGAGTAACTGTTGAGATTAAAGGAAACAAAAACAATATGAAATTAAATGGAACATGCAATCTCTGACTGGATCCTGGGCCAGAAGGAAAAAACAAAAAGTCTGTGATGAAAGAGTTGGGATGGATATGAAAGTAATCTATAAATTGAATAGTAGTATTACATCAATGTTGATTTTCTGTCTTGGATAGTTGTGGTTATGTAAGAAGGTGCTATTATTTAAGGAAATACATGCTGGTATATTTATGAATGATTATATCTACTGTTTGATCTCAACAGGCTCGGAAAAAGGATAATGATAATGAATGAGTGTGAATGTGTATATGTATATATATGCATGTTTGTATGTATTTATATATATTTTTGTATGTAGTTGTATATATATCTGTATGTTTATATGTATATATATACACACATAAATATATGCATATATATGTATATAAATATATATATATACACAGAAAGAGAACAAATATGATGAAATGCTAACAATTGAGAAACATGGGTGAAGCAGATACACGATATTTTGCACTTCTATTGTAACTACTCTAAGTTTGAGATTATTTTACAAGAAATTATTATAAAAAAAGAAGAAAGAGTAAATTGGAAATAGGCCGTTCTTTAAATGTTTGGATCATCTTAATTGTTAAAAATTGACTAAGTGGTTCTAACTATTAGTAGTTTCCTTAGGTATATGGCAGAAATAAATGAATATTTTTCCTGGAGGAAAAAAACCTTATCACAGCCTTTAAATTACATCTGTAAACAAATTTTCAAATACAATCTCCAACATAAAATAAAAAATAACCAAGCATAAGACAAGACAACATGAATTGACTATAATATTGTTCCCAAATATTCCCTGCCTCATCTTTTGGAAGATTATACCTCCCCATTTTGTTGACATCAGATTTGGATATATGACTAGATCAGGCCAGTAAAATGTGAATAAAAGTGGTAAATGTGACTTTCGTGCCAAAGTTCTAAGAGCTCATAGTCTTGCCATCTCATCTACATTTGCCATGGCACCAGTGATGTCTTAGGTGTAGTCTGTTCCTTCAACCTGTCTTCGGCAGTAAGCCATTATTAATTAGGGAAATATAAGGCAATATCACCATAATGAGATGCAATTTTATGCTCAAGAGATAGTAAATATTAAAATATGACAATAATAGGTATTAACATTTATGTGAAAATAAAGGCAATATCCAGGAAATTGAAAATGTACAGACCTGACAACCCAGTAATTTGACTTACATGTAGAGAAACTCTTGGGAATTTTCTTCAGAATATATGTACATGAATTGTCATAATATCATTGCCCATAACAGAAATTTTTCTACTACTCAAATATCTATCAACATTAAAGTGAATACACAAATATAATCTTATACATGTAGCACAAATGAATGTTCTACAGCTTCAAATATCAACATCAGTAAGTTTTAGTAAAATAACTTTGAGCCAGGATAAAAGTAAGTCACAAAAGAACACATTGAGTATGATTGTCTTTATATATGATTAACACCTGCAAATTGAAGGAATAAACTATATGACCAAACATGTAAGAGTGTTAAACTATAAAGGAAATCCAGGGGATGATAAATACAAAATTCGGGACAGTGATTATGTTACCAGTGGGCAGGATATGTAAAGAGAAGGGCATGGCAAGATGCACAGAAGTACTTCACTGGTATGGATAATGCTCCATTTCTTAAGCAGATGGTAGTACAGTGGTGTTTCTTTTGTTCTTATTCTTTATATCATAAATGCATACACATATTTTTGTGTGTATGAATATATATGTACTTGTGTTTATATATATTTAATGACGTAATTTAGTAAATCTAATTCAGGAAAGGATATAGTAGGAGAAAAGCGAAAAATTGAGTATAAGTAAGCCTTGAGTGACTTCTAATGTAAAGAAGAACAGAGAAAATGTAGGAATATCTGGAGGAGATTTGATGCAAAGATTTGTTTTATTTTAAGTTGTGAGATATCACAACATATTTGATGATGGTAATTGATCATACAGGAATAAAAAATGATAAGGATACAGACGAGAAGTATCAATTGCTGGCCGAGATGACAGTTGAAGAACCCAGTGCACAAGTAGAGAGAATGGCATTACACAGATACCAAGAACTGTTCATCTGTAGTAAGAGAAAATTCAGAGTTGAATGAAAGAGATACATATTTGTTGTTGGTGGTAGAGGAGCTATTTTTCTTTTATTTGTGATTAAAGGAGATAGCAAATCCTTGTAGTACCCATTCTAACTCTAGTGCTTGTATTAAAAAATATAACGTTTTGTTTCAGGTACAGATTACCCCCAGATGAAGATTTTGACTTCCAATTCATCGCCAATAGGAGACATTTGATATATGCTATGACACTTGCTTCTAGCAACATGGCTATCTAGATACTCTGAAAGATAACCAGTGACACACTCAATAATTTATGCATTGTTTCCTGTGGCTGTTTTCAAGTTTCAATGAAGGAGTTGAATGGTTCCAACAGTCTGTAAAGTTAGAAATATTTACTATCTGTTCCTTTTCAGAAAAGCATTTGTTGCAGGAATATTACAAAGAATTTTGGTATGTTCAGTATCCATTTTCCCCCATTATTAACCTCTTACACTCTCATAGTATATTTGTTACATAGTAATGAACCACACTTGACACATTATTATTAATTAAAGCCCATACTTTATTAGAATTGTATGAATTTTTACCTAATTCCGTTTTCTGTCCCAGGATCGAATACAGGGGTGCCACATTACATTGAGGAGTCATGTCTCTTTAGACTCCTTTTGACTGTGGCAGTTTCTCAGTTTTTCCCTATTTTTCATGATATTGACAAAACTGAGGAGTATTGGTCAGATATTTTGATTATCTTTCCATTTCAGTTTACTTGATGTTTTCCCCGTGTTTATGCAATGGTTATAGGTTTTGGGGAGAAAGACTAGAGAGGTAAAGAGCCATTTTCATCAATATCAAGGGTATTTATTATCAACATCACTGAAGATGTTCACATGACTAACTGGCCAAAGTAGCATTTGCCAGATTTCTCCAGTGTAAAGTGACTCTTCCTTCCTCACTCTACTGGCCACCCTTTCCACATTCTTTATACAGAATGCACTACGTGAATCCTACACTTCAGAGATGGAATGGAGAGTTATATGTAGTTATTTAGAATTCTTATGTATGGGATATTTATATATTCTCCACCTCTTATCTATTTATTCATTGATTTTTATCAACTTGGATTCATGGATATTTATTTTGTATGAATTAGCTTATAATCCAATACTATTTTATTTATTCTATTGCCTAAATTGAATTCTCAGGTATCTTAGTCATATAAAGAAACTCTGTTGCATGGCTCAAATTCTGGGCAATTACAATCCTCCTAAATAAATGCTTACTGAGTACTTCCTAGTCTTAACAGGTCATCCATCAATCAGTAAATCAATAAACCTTTATTAAGTGCTGCTAAGTATCTAGCACTTGGACTAAGAACATCGTTCTAGACATCAAATTGTTGGGAAACCTTAAACACTAAGGTAACCAGAAATCTCCAGCTTTTCTGACAGCACAGAAGCAAAGCTACAGTGGCTACTCCTGCGTACCCACCACTCAATGCTGTCCAAGGCCCTCATTGTCTCCAGCCCACAGAAACTTTAACCTCAGCTCAGGGAAGATGCCAAAGAATCACATAGAGTTTGAAATTGTATTTGAATTTTAAGCTGGATCTCGGCCCCCTTCTTTCTCCAAGGAAGTTACAGGAATTTCAGGACAAGTTGTGGGAAATGTGATTGGTCCAAATTTCAATCAGGTCAACTTTGAAAATGTTGGTTTACTTATAACTAGAGTCAGAAAGATACATGAGTTTATTCTTATTTGGTTGTACGTGGGCAACATCAACTATGAATTTTACAAAGGACAAAATTAAAAAGCAGTTATTATACATATAATGTTAAATGAAAAAAATCATGAAAAAATAGATGTTTAAAAAATAAGTAACAATTGTTGCCTTCTGAGATCGAGATTCTACTTCCTATCCCCACCCCAACTGAATCTTAATTGTTTTCAAGACTCTCCAATATTTGTACAATGCATAACTACATTACATTTTTTAAAAAACAATAGCTTTGATTCTGAAAAATTATAATTATTGAACAGGGTTCTGAGAAATTCCTTAGACTTTTATCCAAACAGTAAGAAAACAAATCATGTCAATTTCTTCCTAGATTTGACCCCTTAGTTTAGGAAATAAGGATGTAATAGTTTCCTAAGACCCTAGTGAATTTTTCATGATCCTGTGTGTCTTCTAATTTAGACAAGGAAGCTTTGACTGTTACTGTAAACATAGTATAGAAGGAAAATCAAAAATAGAATACAGAAAAATAGGAGATATAAGCTAAAACAACGTTGTATAAGTAAAAAGTAATAATTCTTCTTTTGTTTTTCCTTTATTTTACTGGCAAATATCACATTCTTTAAAACTTTAGCTTACAGAGCTTACATTCATCACATTGTACATAAGAAAGAAGGAACATTAAAGCATAAGTATTTCAAATTTGCTAAAGACATTCAAGCACGAATTACACTCAGTTTTCATTTTTTATTTTGTTGCTGAGGAAGATTCGTATTGAATTAACATCTGTTGCCAATTTTCCTCTTTTGTTGCTTGAGGAAGATTATCCCTGAGCTAACATATGTGCCACTCTTCCGCTATTTTGTATGTGGGTCACCACCACAGCATGGCTGACAAGTGGTTTATGTCCGAATGTGGGATCCGAACCCACAAATCCAGGCTTCCAAAGCAGAGCTTGCCAAAATTAATCACTATGCCATGGGGCTTGCCCCTATACTCATTATTTTTAGGCATTATATAATGTAATGTAATGTATATAAAGACTATTTATAGACATCTTGAAATCAGCTCTTTTATGTCCAAAATTTACATTAGACTAAGGTAAATTCCAATATAGACACTTTGCAGAAAGTGAAAGAAAATAAGTAAGGAAATAATAAGTATAGTTATGCCCCCAAGTTTATTTGTTCTTTAGTTCTTTCTCCATAATTTTCAAAGCCCATGTACAGTTATTAATACATAGATATATTTACACATATATCTATATATAAGTATATGTATATATCAGATGTACTACTAAATGGAAAGAAAGGTAATCACAAAAATAAAGAAAATGAAATTCTTGGTTATTTTTAATGAGACTGACAACTCAAACTATCTGTGTGTTTCTACATCATTATAGATTCATGTAATATTTGAAAATAAAAGAAAGAACCAAAATAAAAAAGATAGCAGGGAAAACATTCTTGTTTTTTATATAAAGATCTCAAAAACCCTGTGAACCTGATCCTAATTGTTCACATGATTCCTTCTCTACCAATCTAAACTTTTAAAAAGTTGAAGAATGATGGAGGAGAAAGCTTTAACCTCAGATATATTAAGAAATTCCTTTTTAGATCTCAGTTTGTAATTTCAATGTAGACCCTTTCATTTCCTGCTCATAGTGTGTGTCAAATTTCTCATTCAGGGCCACTGTAAAGTGATTCTTCCAGTCTCCCACAATCCCTGTAACAAAAGAGAAAAAACAGTAAATACGTCTTCCAGTCAGAATCATGAAATCTTCTAATATTTATCACTTTCTTTAATCTAATCAAATTGTGTTCTTGTACTTCTCAATTATAGAAATAGAATGTATACCATAAATAATATATATTTGAGTTCACAAAGGATATATCCTGATCGCTAAAAAAGAAAAGAAAACAAACTGCAAATTTCTTTCTCTGATTCTTCCCTCTTATATTTTACTTAATTTTTCTTATCCAATTTCCTGTGAAATGTTGGACCTCCTAAGATGAGATCCATGTTTTACCCACTTCCAAGACATTATCATCTTCATGCTGGTAACCCTCAAATCCAGACTTATATCTCCATATCCAACTGCCTACATGATAGTGCCACCTGGATTGCATACAAGTATCTCAAATTCAACTAGTTCAAAAGTAAATTCATGTTCTCCCTCACCAAATTGTGTTTTCTTTGTGCACTTTTCCATAACCTGGTTAATGGCAACACCAGGTGTCCAGGCATAAACTTTGAGGTTGTCCCTCAACCACACCATCTAACTCTTTCTTCATATTCAGACTTCCTTCATATCCATTGCCTCTTCCATTTCTGCGGCCACTGACAGAGAAGCTTCTCAGTGTTTCCCACCTGTGCTAATATGATAGTCTAGCAGGGCCTTCTCTTTTGCTTTCCATCATTTCCAACATTACCCTGACAGAAGAAAGTCACCTGTATTTTAAATTAGTCAGTAGTTCACTTGCCTCCTTAGCTCAAGGAGCTCTAAACTTTCCCAATGAAATAAACACAGAAGATAGAAAATGTATGTCCTGAGGATTGGGTAGAGTCTGAGCATATAGCCGGAAGCAGCCCTTTACATGCATGACAACTATTTTAAGATCATTGTTTCATCTTAAAAATACATGTGGATATTATGGAAAAGGAGACTGAGATAATCTGAGAAGTGAATAATTAAAATATAACCTGCACGTTAACTCTCTTTTCAGGAGCTCCCTGTTTTTGCCCAGAGTCAGGTTTGTTTTTCCCATTATTTCAAAGATCCCTGACCCTCTCACTGACAATTGGGTTCAAAGAACAAGATTTTCTTTGTCCTATCTCTGCTTCACATATCAGTAAGCCTGGATGTCCCAATACTCTGCATCTCCTCCACGCCTTTGGGTTTATAAACGGACTATATCTATTCAGACCCCGCCGCCTCCTAATAGAACGTCACCTCATTGTACTTTGATGTTTTAGCTAAACAGACTTGTATTTGCCACTATTTGCTTTGAAACTTAGCCTTTTTTCAAGAGGTTTCTTGAGATATAACTGATATACAAAGAACTGTGCATATTTAATGTGTACGATTTGATGAGTTTTGACATTTGTCAGCCTTGAAAAGTATCTGCCAGTTGGTCAAGGAAAAGCTAAGTGTTCTAAGCTTGTTTCATCATCTCAAAATGAGATAATAATAGAAGCTTTCTCCTGAGTCTCTGATTATAATTTAAAGAGAATTAGAATTGTAAAATTATCTATGTTTATGTAATGTATATGGTGCAGCATCAAGGCACAAAGGCTTAGTAAATGAAAGCTAGTAGAGTGTGGTATTAGTGCTGGTGCTGAAGTTGGGGTTGCTGCTGCTCATACTTAATGTAATGTGCTGCATATATTAAATAATCAACAAGTAATAGCAATATATTACTAGTATTACTAGTAGTACTAATGTTTTATGCCTCTCTAGAACTGGTAACTAACTCAATAAAGAGAGTGCTCAAAGGTCAAATAGCTCTGAAGAAAACAAGCTGGGTTCACAGGCATGAATAGACCTCAATAGACATTTGCCTATAACTATGTCAACTTGCGAGTTCCTATAACAATAGAGGCAAATAATATAACTATCTCACCTTTTCTCATGAAGGGAGATATTTTTTGGTTCATGATTTCATCTGGTAGCATTGTGTAATTGGTAGATGGATTGTTCTTCATCTCATGGAATGAAGTATGTTGTACAATCTTGTCCACAAGCTCCTCTGATGGTTTCCTTCCCAGAAATTGCATTAATTTTATCACTTCTCTTTTGATATCCTAGGGAGAAAAATTATTTTGAAGACTCCATTACTAAAATTGAATACATTACTATTTGAATTTAAAAAAAGAGAGAGAAAAAAAATCTTTCATTTTTCCCACTGGTAATGGAATTAGGCTTCTAAAGAGGAAAAACACCTCCTGGGGAAGTGGTATTCTTTTTCTTTGAGGAAGATTAGCCCTGAGCTCTCACCTCTGCTGCCAATCCTCCTCTTTTTGCTGAGGAAGATGGGCACTGAGCTAACATCCATGCCCATCTTCCTCTACTTTATCTGTAGGACACCTGCCACAGCATGGCTTGACAAGCGGTGCATAGGTCCGCACCCAGGATCTGAACAGGCGAACCCCAGGCTGCCAAAGCAGAATATGTGAACTTAACCCCTGTGCCACCAGCCCAGCCCAGAAGTGGCATTTTTTTAACTTCTCTAAGGATAATTTTCCTTGTTCATATGATGGACATAAAAGATACTTCAATTATTGTTAGAATACTAAATGAGTTGATGTTTCTAAAATATTTATTGTTGTCCTTGAGGCATACTACATGCTCAATAATATAATCTATGAATATTAATATACTCTTTCAAAGACTACAGTTCCCTGTGAAAGACCAAGTTTTGGGGTGAAAATACGCAGACAGCTTTCGGTTTTCTCCTAATCTACTGGGTAATTAGTGAGAAGCAAAGGAATCAGAAGGATTAAGAAAAGATGGGAAAAAGCAAATACTCAACATAAAACATCAGATTTATACAAACTATAGCTACAAACATCCCCATCTCTATAACTTCAATAGTGTACCCTATTATCCAGTTAAATCCCTCAATGCAACCATTCACAAAACCAACTAAAACGCTTATTTTGATGTTTAGTTCCCTCTACACAGAATACTGTTCTCAAGTTCTCTAGCCAATAAATTACAGCTTGTCTGTCAGACTTCAGCTTAAGTATCACCTTCTTTGGGATGATTTCCTTGATTATTCCAATCTGAGTTAGATAACCCTATATTTGTTCCCATAATTTTCCATATAAATTTATTGTACCATTATTCTCATAATTTTTAAATTTATTTGTCTGTCGTCCACAAAAAAAGACCATTTCTCTACATATACTCTTTGATAGACGTAATATTAATTTATAACATTACATAAATTTCAAGTGTATCCCCTTATATTTTATCTTCTGTATAGAGTACATTGTGTTCCCACCAAAAGTCTAGTTGCCATTCGTCACTGTACATATGTCCCTCTTTACCCCTTTCACCCTCCCCCTCACCTTGCACCTGGCAACAACCAATCTGTCTTCTGTATCTGTGTGTTTGGTTTTCGTTTACTTTTCACATATGAGTGAAATCATATGGTATATGACTTTCTCTGGCTTACTTATTTTTCTTAGCATGATACCCTCAAAGTCATTCCATAGCATTGCAAATGACAAGATTTCGTCTTTTTAGAGTTGAGTAGTATTCCGTCACTCCATCTTTATCCATTTCCATCAATGGGTACTCAGGTTGTTTCCAATTCTTGGCTATTGTGAATAACGCTGCAATGTACATCAGGGTGCCTATATATGTTTTCAAGTCAGTGTTTTCATGTTCTTTGGATAACTATACAAAAGTGGAATAGCTGGACCATATGATAGTTTTATTTTTAATTTTTCGAGGAATCTTCATACTGTTTTCCATAGTGGCTGCACCAATTCATATTTCCATCAGCAGTACATAAGGGTTCCCTTTTTCTGCCTCATCTCCAACATTTGTTATTTCTTGTCTTTTTAATAACAGCCATTCTGACAGCTGTGAGGTGATATCAAAACAGGTTTTGCTTTGTGTTTCCCTAATAATTAGTGATGTTGAACATCTTTTCATGTGCCTGTTGGCCACCTGTATGCCTTCTTTGGAAAATGTCTGTTCAGATCCTCTGCCCACTTTTTTAACTGGGTTTTTTGGTTTTTGTTGTTGAATTGTATAAGTTCTTTGTGTATATTAGATATTAACCCCTTATTAGAGATATGATTTGCAAATCTCCTCTCCCAACTAATAGATTGTCTCTTTGATTTGTTGATGGTTTCCTTTGCTGTGCAGAAGCTTTTTAGTTCAAAGTAATCCCATTTGTTTCTTTTTTCTTTTTTTCTTCTGGCCTGAGGAAATATATTTAAAAAATACTGCTAAGACCAATGTTAAAGAGCATGCTACCCACGTTTTTCTTCTAGAAGTTTTAGGTCTTATATTCAAGTCTTTAATCCATTTTTAATTAATTTTTATGCATGTTTTAAGATAGTGGTCTACTTTCATTCTTTTTTCATGTGGCTGTCCAGTTTTCCTAACACCGTTTGCTGATGAGACTTTTCTTTTTCCACTACATGTTCTTGGCTCCTTTGTTGAAAACTAGCTGCCCCTAAATGTGAGGGTTTATTTCTGGGCTCTCAGTTTCATTCATTTCATATGTGTGTCTGTTTTTCTGCCAGTACCATGCTGTTTTGATTACTATAGCTTTGCAGTGTATTTTGAAATCACAGAGTGTGATACCTCCAAGTTAGTTCTTTTTTCTTTGAATTGCTTTGGCTATTCAGGGTCTTTTGTTGTTCCATGTAAATATTAGGATCTTCGTTCTTTTCCATGAAAACTGCCATTGGGATTTTCATAGGGATTGAAATGAATTTCTAGATTGCTTTAAGTAATATGGAGATTTTAATGATGCTAATTCTTCCAATCTATGAGCATGGAATGTCTTTTCATTTGTTTGTGTCTACTTGGATTTCTCTCAACAATGTCTTACAGTTTTCAGTATACAAGCCTTTCATCTCCTTCATCAGACAATTTTTATAGAATCTCTACATTTTAAAAAAATCTTAGTTCTCTCTCTTCTTCTACCTACATCATTTTTAGATTTCAATCTCACTAATTCTCTCTTCAACATGATCTGCTCTATTTCCAATGATTTCTAATGTATTCTTCATGTCATTTATTGAGTTCTACAGTTCAAGGATTTGTTTATTTTTGGAAATTTCAATCTCTCAGGTAAAGTATTTCTTCTGTTCATTAATTTTATTCTTAAGCTCATTGAACTGCCTTTCTGACTTTTCTTGTAGCTTATTGAGTTTCTTCAAGACAGCTATTTTGAATTCTTTACCAGTTAGATCAACAATCTTCCATGACTTTATTTTTGGTTTCTGGAGAATGTTTCTTTCTATAATGCCATGGTATTGTGGCTTTTGCTTGCTGAGTTATTTCTCTGTGGGCACATTTACTGTAGCAAACACATCTATTTAGATATAGTTTTGATTCAAGATTTTGAACTGCTTGGAGATTAGAAGCTTTTCTTTTATTTTTCAGTAGATGGCTCTATTGTGCTAGCTTTTGGTTTCTCTTACCTGAGCTGCCTCTTGCTACATTTGAGGATCTGCATATCCCCCCCTGCACAACCTTTGTATTGCCACTTCTCTCCTCTTGACCATCTGCACTGTTGGGGCTTGCTGATGCCTTGTTGCTGGTGTTTCTGTAGTTTCTGGCTTTGCCACAGAGACTCAGGGATGGCAGACACTCTAGCAGTATCCAGGATCATCTGGTTCAGAAGTGCCACAGCCCTACTGGGGCAGGGAGTGGTGGGGAGTGAGCTTGATAGTCAGGGCACCATCTCAGCTTTTGTTCCTTACCTTGTGGTCACAGGTTCCAGCTGAGGTTGGGCTGTAGAGTCCTGTATGCATGTCACCACTGCTACCAGACCCCTGGCCAAGGCTGGGGTCTTTGATTATGGGCTTTCCCCCTCTACTCTGCTTCCCACTCCAGGAGTGTCCACAGCTGGCTGGCTGTAGTCACACACATGCCTCTGCTGCTGCCCACCAAAATCTCTGGGGTTGAGAGCATCTGGCTTAGTCACTGCAGCCAGTGATCTAGGATCCTAGGCTGTGCCTCTGCTGTGCCCCAATTTAGCATTCTATGTGTGCTCCAATTCACTGGCCTTTGTATGTATCAATGTGTGCATCTTTCTGGCATCCTGTTGCCTTATGCATTGTAGGCTTGTCAGATTATGGATGTTATATTGTAGATTGAAGGTGAGAGATAAAAGAGTCCTCTCACACCTGCTTGGTGATGATATCATCCTACGTACAATGTCAATATCTTATTTTCTTTCTACTTGATACATTGTAGAAACAAAAGAAAAGTAATTTATTCATTCTTAGGCTCCTTATTGATTCAACTGTAAAGATAACCTGAACATGGTCATTATTGACCAAAATAGGGAGCGAATGGACATGGACAATTTGAAGAGGTGAACTGGTTAAATTAACTAAGAAATTTTGTTTTTGTGCCTTTCAAATTTACTGTCTTCAATATTCTAGTTACAAAACACAATGTGCAAAAATTATTGTGCAAAAGTGTGAACAAGACACGGATATTGATTCCTTTCTTGGTGCTAATAAAGAATGAACATAGAGAGGACATTTCTCATCTCTTAATGAAGGGAACCAGTGTTTTGTCTGTTTTTAAAAAATAATTTGATATGTGTACCTATGTGCTTTAAAGAATAAAAATGAGTACAGCACCCCTTACCTACTATCCATCTTATGGAATAGAACATTCAAAATTTGTTGGGTTCTTCCATGGGCAAGTTTCAAATTGCTTTTCTTCCACTCTCCATTCCCATTCCCACAAACAACAACAGCAACAAAACCTATCCTGAAATTGATCTAATCAATCTTGTGCTTTACTTTATAGTTTTCAAACTTTTATATGTATCCATAGACAACATATAGCTTGGTTTTACCCAATCGATGTGCATATTTGAACTTTATTCCTTTTCATTGCAATATAATATAATATTTAATTATGTAACAATAATATACATCATATCCTGATTCTTGAGTTTATGTATATTTGGGTTGTTTCCAATTTTTATGGTTATGAAGAATGCTGCTATGAAGACTGTTAACAGTACATATAACCTAATTAACACATATCAGAGATTCTGAAGAGTATATACCTACTAGTAGAATTTCTGAGTCTTAAGTTACGTGCATGTTTACCCTTCCTAGATAATGACAAGCTGTTTCCACAATATTTGTATTTTTACTCTCCTATCAGCAGTGTGTTACTTCTCCCTGATGCATTTCTTGACTAATATTTATTATGGTCAAATTTTAATTGCTGTCAGTCTTCTGGCTATGACATGACATCTCACAATGATTTTTATTTTGAATTACTTATTACTAATGAAGCTAAAGAAAACCTAGATTATGAGGAAATTTTGATGTCATCATACTTTTGCATAATGCTGTGCCAGCATTCTCTTTACTCTCTCCTTCTGGAAGTTCGAGCTGATATATGTGGGACCTTATTACTCTATCCTACATATCTATTATTCTCTTTTCAAAGTAGTCTATTTGTCTCATGTGGCACATTCTATGGAATTTCCTCAGCTCCATTTTATGTATAAGTAACCATCTCTTGATTTTCTAATTTTAATGTTTTTTATTATTTTAGAAATTCTATTTTGCTAATTTTTTTAATCTGCCTTGACAATTTTAGTAAGATATAGTTTCTTTGTAAAATTTTTAATTTCTTCATTTTTTAAACATATTAGACTCAGTTATTTTATAGTCCTTATCTGATAACTCCAACATCTATAAATTTGGAGTCTTGTTGACTCATCCTGTCCATTGTGATTCCTTGTTTGTATGTGTTTCTGTGTGTGTGTGTGTTTGTTGTTGATGTTTTGTTTTATTTGTTTTATGAACTCAAGTTCTCTCAAATTTTATATCTGGTAATTTTTTGAGACTTGGGTTTAAATGTATTCATTCATAGGAGACTTTTATTTACTAGTTTCAAATCTGTGCCAAAGTATCTGCATTGTTGTAACTTTTGGAGGTGGCTGCATCATTTATTTAAAGGCAGATCTTTGACTCTAGAGTGTTGTCAAATGCTACCATGTTAGAAATTACTAAGTTGCCCATATGTTTTCAGCTTCTTACCTCCTGCATGTCTTCATAGAAAAGAAATAGCACATGTGGCTTCTTTCTCTTTTCCCACCAAGATTTTGCATGTCTATACCAGGAACCATAAGGAACTAAAATTAGAGATAAAAACAATGCAAAGGCATAGTATCATCCTTATACAGCTTGAAAATGAGTGTTCACACAGCAGTATCAAAAATAAATATAAATAAATGATCATGGAATGAAAACTAGAGATCAGACACACAGCTTAAGCAAATTTCTCTGCAGAAAGAGAGGCAAAGTATGTTGAATAATCCATGTACTTTCATCATTATGACCTGGTTTATGACACCGAGGAAAAGTAAAGGAAATTCTCTTTCCATCAACTTGCTTCAGGGCTTATGAGAGCATTTTTGAAAATGATATGTGTGTGCATGTGTGCGTGTGTGTGTGCGTGTGTGTGTGTAAAATCAAGCTGTTAGTGAAAGGAGTTGAGTTAGTGGAGCTATCAACATTCTTATCATCAGAATTCAGGCCAGGTCTCAAATTGACCATTTACAAACTAGCCTTGGCAACTGAAGCTAGTTAACTATATAAATTTTTGTTATGCTATTTCAAGCTTAGGTGGTAAACGATATTTTCTTCAAGGACTTTAGTATCATTCTGACTCTAAAAAATTGGAAGATTTTGAAGATGATCTCATATGACCAAATGCTCTCTCTTCCTTTCTTTTCTCTTATCTTCTTGCATGTATATCCAAATGTTTCACCCAATAAAAAGCTGACAGAATAACATCATAATGTGTAAGTTAAAGTATTCTGGTTTGCATTACATCATTGCATTTCTCTTCTGTTCTTTGTCCTTATTGACAATTTTCTTTACAGAAAAAGTTATGTAATGATATTTATGTGGTCTTATTCATCTGTTTTATAGAGGTGCAACATTATTTTTCTCTGCCTTACAATGCGGGTTTTGATGATGTTGAGGTATATATTTTATTCATGATGATTTAGCATAAATTTTTCCAACATGTAGCAACAAACATAAAGTACATACATCCTACTTTTATTTAGTTAATGTCATCTACCATGGATATAGAAATGGCATTATTATCATTTTACCTTACAATTATTACTACAGGATCAGAATGGCCTTCTTTAGCTAATAGTAAACTCTCCTCTATACTTTCTTCCTCAAATCTAAATACTCAGGTGTTTTAATATGGAGTTAACTAAAAAGGAAAAATCTCCCAGAATTTCTGCTCAAGTAACTCTGTACTATTCTGAAAAATCTAGTTGAATCATTTAGACTCTACACTGCATAGAATGAGTAAGAACTTTGTAGATGTTCAGAATTCTTTATGAATTCTGGTCTCATGTAGCACCTGAAATTTTTCAGGAAACAAATGAGCATTCTCTTTTCTTTTTTCCTTCCTGCTTGCTCAATGGAATTTAATAGCATGTTGTGGAAGAATTTACTAATAAGAAGAGATAAGAGAGAAAATTTGGGCCTGAGTTTCTGTCTTATGAAAATTTGTACTTCCAACTTCCAAACAGACTTCTATATATTTATTTTTAGGCACTGAGCTAGAGTGTCCAGGTTTTGACATTTGACATCCATGTCCGGAAATCCTATGCTTGCTCTAAAATTCAAAGGCTTCTAAAACTTCTGTGTATCAATGAATGATCAGGGAAGAAATTAGACCAGGACAGACAAAAAACATTTTTGCTCAGAGATGCCATTTGTCTTGTATCGTTTGCCTTGAAAGAGTTTAGAGAAAAGAAGCTGTTCTTACCTTCTCCATCCATGAATTTCTCCACAAACTCTTGAAAAGATCCAGGATGTGGATGCCCAGCTACCATTAGAAAGAAATAATAAAAAGAAACAACCACGTCCTTGGCATTCCGGCAAAGATAGATCATCTAAGAGAATGAAATCATATATTAAATCACCTATTTTTTTCAAATGTAGTTTCATCAAGATTTAAAAGGAAATCATTTGTGCTTGCAACTATAAATATACTATAATGCATTATATATATATATAATACATATTCATTGTAGAAAGTGTAAAATATATAAAATTATAAAGAAGAAAAGTTCTTTAATAACTTGAAGTGACAGCATCTTTTGTAGTGTTATTCAAAGCCAGTTCTCACTTTTCATTTTCATGCCACCTTCAAATATAATACCTTATTTACGCATCACAAATTCCATTGATATACATTGGACCAGATCAATTATTATCCCAAATTTATAACTGAAGAAACTAAACCAAAGCTGAGTCAGACTAGATAATTGACAATAAATCAATGAGAGTAAATGATCTGATAAATCATTACGTCAACAATAAAGTCCTCTGGTCTTTATTCTATACCACCATTCTACATACTAAAGAAAAAAATGTCCTGCTGTTTCCTCGCTTTCAATCTTGGGGAAAAATACATTTTTATGAGGGTCTATTTAAACGCACATTGATCTCAGTGAAAATATAATCTTCAACAACACCTTGCTGAGTTTCCATTTTACACATAGAGGAAACACCAATAAATTAGCAACAGGAAGACATTTTTTTTTTAAGTTGCTAGTTCTGACACTAAGTTCTATCATCTTGCTCAAAGCACCAAACATTTTGGACCTACATTTTTTTATGCATTAAGCAAGTGAACTGGGTCAGATCTCTATAGTTTCTTCTGGGTCTGGTACTTAGAGCTGCAGGAAAAGATCTGGAACCAATCTCTGATATCCCAGTGGTCTTCCACATCTGCCCTCAGGCGCCTGAGCAACGCGATGAGGGAAAGTTGCTCGTGATCTCCACTGTTTACCGAATACGACTAAGCTCACTAAATTTGTCTTACTCAAGTCTCTACATTTTCAAACAATTTTAAAGAAATCTTCCACGTTATTCTGAGAAGTATGGCTCTCATTTTTAAGGTCTCTCTATAAAATCTTTTCATTATTCCAGAAAGAAAGTGATATTTCGGTTCTTACCAAAGCTATCATTAGCCATATTGAACTTTTCCAATCTTATTTACAACTCTCCCTTGTTCTTTTTGCCTATTAGCTGAATGGAATTCTTTGCTAATATATTCATGAATATGCTTCAGAATTTTCACCCTTTGCCTTTCTTCATGCTATTCTTTCTGTCTTGAATATTCTCTGCATCTCAAAATACTACCCATACTTAACGCTTGACTCCAGATCTTCCGTGAAGATTTTTATTCTGCCACTTGATGGGGGTGGGGGAGGGAGCAAAATCAATCCCTCTTCTCATAAAATCCCATTAGTTTATCTTATCTACATTTTGGCAAATCCTATTCCATATCTAAAACTTTCTATTGCACATACTGTTCCTGCTTTCAAGGAAAATGTAGTTCTTTCTTGAAGATATGATTTTCCCTGTAGCTCTCTCAAGTCAAAATTGCTAGCTTACCCACATTTCACTTGAAATCATAATCCATCTAAAAATCCTATACTTGAAAGATTCCCTTCCTGGGACAGTGAATCCATTCCTCTCCCAGATAAATTTCTAAGCTTGTGGTCATTCCCTTGCTTTAATTGAAGATTTGAACACCTGCCTTGTAGTATTACTCTCCATTCCAAATCCTGTCATCGTCTTGTGTAATTTTAGTATCTGCACGCATGATCCCTCTGATTCTCTGTGCCCTTGTACTCATTGATCATTGCTTCTATTTTGCTTCAGTCAAGCACTTTTATAATCAAATTGCGAATCTTGTTAGTACCCTTAAGGTTTCACTTTTGAAGACTTATCCTGGAGCCTCACGTTTTCTTCCAAGAAAATCCTGCTCCCTCCTTCTTCCTTATCAGTTATTCCCAATATACCTCAGCTGCAGCCACTCCAAGACCTCAAATCTCTTGGTCTCAATTATTTCTCTTATCTATAAGCCTATTCCATTTTTCTTCACTTTCTTTTTTTTCTTTTATCACTTTTATTTTCTGGTCCATCACTCCAAACACACTTTTACTAATAGTCTCAATCCATTTGTCTTCTTATCCTCTAGTGAATCACCATGGAAATACTCAGATCATTAATCCATCTAACTGTTTTCCTACACTTTGATTATCTCTGAGATGATAACCAGTTTTGTGAAGACTGAGAAGATGGTAAATGTATGGTATCTCTTTTCATTTGAAAAGTAAAGGGGTAACATCAAGGTTACAACCCATTCTCCAAAGGAAATAAAGTGACTTGGTCTAATCTCTTGAAAAAATGGCAATGACACTTTTCCATGAAAATACATGAATGGTAGTTACTAATGAGTAAACGGTATTTACTTTATGTATGGAATGATTTCACCAGGATATATGTGGTCTAACTAGGATTGCTTATGATAAAAGCAAAAAAAAAAATAAGAAACATTGGAATCTTCAGAATTTTGGATCACGGATCTCCAGAAAATGTCAAATACACCATTAATATCAGAGTAAAAAATGAAAATATTTCATGACTGTGATAAATCCCCTTTTTTGTTACTAATGGGTGCACACAATACTTTAATATCTCATAGGTATAGTATGGGTCATAGTGTATCCTAAAAATGCTGGAAAGGGCTTAAGAATAGCATCAGTGGTCCAAGACTTAGTGTTTTACCTGTACTTTGGGATTACATGTATCATTATTTCTAAGAAGCAAAACTGATCATGTCAATCATTTGCTTAATATATCTATAACTCCTTATTATCATCAAATAGAGTCCAAACATCTTAACTCAGCTTCAGTGTCTGCTGTAATCAAACCCAGCTTCTCTCTCTTCACTCATCCAGCCATATGTACGCTCAACCTCCCAGATAAACTGAACTGGTTTCACATTCCCACCTTGGGTTGCATCTGAGATTGTATACACAGACGCTTACACATCCTTCCCAACTCAGCTTAGATGTTACTTGCTTCTGGATGCCTCCCCTGCCCTCAGTGTCTGGGCTAAAATTCTTCTCTTACTTGACCTATGGCACCTCCTGCAGTGGACCTCTCTTTCTCCAATGGACCATGTGTCCATGAAGACAAGGATTGCATGTGTCTCGTTAATTGTTACATTGCTGATACGTGGTAGACACTCAGTAAATAATTATTATGTGATGCTTGTCTGGTTGATCTTTGTCTAGTTTGTCTGCATTCCTCACAATGCCACACACAACAGTTTGCAAAAGGAGTACATTCAATACAATCAGTACTAACAATGAATACAAAAGTAGCTACCATTTATTGAGGTGTTTAGAATATGCTGGGCACTATGTTAAGCACGTTACAAGTATTATATCATTGAATCTTTATAACAACAAGATGAGGAAGATGCTAATCTTATCCTTCTTTTACAGATGAGGAAACTGCAGCTTAGAGAGTTTACCTTTTTTTGTTTCAGAATTACCTAGAATTGGCATTGAAATCTAGACTCTGACTATACTATGATCTACATTTATTAAATGTCTGTGGATTCAATGAAAGAATAAATGAACAAGTGTGGATAAGACACAGTTAAGATGTAACTTGACTTGATCATTCTAAAATTTTTTTGAGTTGGTTGAAGTTCTAATAATACTTGACTCTGGTTACCTTACAGTTCTTTTCCCAAAATGAGCCTGGAAGAAGGTCAGCTGACAGATGAGTCTTCATTATTCTAGGAGATGCCATCTGTTTCAGTTGTTTTACTCCTGATTTTTGAGAAATTAAAAGTAAGACAACTTCAAAAATTATAAATATTTATAAGAAATTTACAGATATTTAAAAAATAAAAGTAACGAATATTCTATATTCTATTCATAATAATACATACTGTGATGGGAGTTTTTATAGAGAAAATTATACACAAAAAATAAGATCAAATAAAATTTCACCAATTTGGAAAAATCATTATTAACATTTTGGGAAGCAGTCTTCTATACAAATATTTCTCTGTGCCGGATTCACAGCCATCCAAATATCACACACACAGATGGAGTTTTTAATATCTTCTAATTGCCTTTTTCTTAAGATATTGTGCTGAAACTACAATGCCAAGAAACACATGATATCCTAAAATTTTTAATCATTTCATAGTGTTATTATATCTCTTTTAACTTTTCTTTTGTTGGTTAACATTTTTTGTTTCTAATTTTTCATAATATTAAAAGAATCTGTGACAAATATCCTTTTGTGTATATCTTTGAAAATTTCATGGATATTTTCCTAGTTTTTAAAGTGTTATCATAGTCAACCCATAGAGAAATAAACAGTCACACATTACTAGGCTCTGCTGAAGGCATGTAAATACTATCCTTATTCACTGTATTCCAGACACATGCTACACCATAAACTCTGTGAAGATTTAAATTTAGAGGCCGGCCAGGTGGTGTAGCAGTTAAGTTTGCATGTTCTGCTTCTCGGTGGCCCAGGGTTCGCCAGTTTGGATCCCGGGTGCGGACATGGCACCGCTTGACAAAAACCATGCTGTGGTAGGCATCCCACATATAAAGCAGAGGAAGATGGACACGGATGTTAGCTCAGGGCCAGGCTTCCTCAGCAAAAAGAGAAGGACTGGCAGTAGTTAGCTCAGGGCTAATCTTCTTCTTCTTCAAAAAAAAAAGATTTAAATTTAAATTTACAACTTTCTTGTGTAGAAGACATAATATTTATTTCCACTCTTGTTTACAGTCTCTTTCCTTGTATAATCTACATCCACACCTTGAAACATATGTATACAACTTTTAAAATCAACTTAAACATTACCATTCATTACATCTTCTTTTCTGCATTCCAAGTAAGGTACTCGATTAAATATGGCATCTTCTTTGCACTTTTCCACATCACCCTCTTTATAGATCATGTCTACAATTTCACTAAGCCAGGTTGTGCCTGTAAAAGTTAAACAAACCTGAGTCTCCCACTAACCATGCAGGGCTGATGACAGGACTAGTGGATTTGCCGCTGGATTAAGTAGGAAGAAACCAATACGATATTATTTGAAAGATATCAGAATAACCAAAGGACTCTAGAAATATTTCCTCTAATATTTAATCTTATAGGTCCCAAAAATAGCTTCAACAAATAAGGGTGAATATTGTAGTAAGACACACCTTTGGTGAGAGTCCAAATTTGTCCATGATGGATTGCGATATTATACAAGATGTTAACAGTTTGGGATGGAAATTTTTGCATCAAAATAAAGCAGCCTTGAATAATAATGATGCATTTAAGCATGGTTTCAACTATAAAATTTACTGATAGCTGCTTAGGGCTCAATTTGAATCCTAGTTCAGAAGATGTAGAAAAGAACAAAACTGGTCTTTGCCCTATGGTCGTCCAAGGCCCTTTGAAGAGCCAGAAACAATGCTCAATAATTGCAACACTTTTTATTTCTTAAGATTTTGTAATACGGGTAGGCACAGGGATTTAAAGGACTGCAAAGGAGGAACGTTTAACTCAGTGTGCTGCTGCTGCTGTCACGTTTCAAAAAGAAATGCCATCAAGAGAACATAATTGAGCTCAGCCTTTACAAATTACTAGCATAAGTTCTTAACTTTGTGAGGTAGAGAAGGATTCTACCAGGCAGAAAGACTGTTTTGTTTTGTTTTTTAATCAAAGGTCAGATACTTGAAAATAGTATAGTGGTGAGGAAAAGAATTGGAAATAGATTATAAAGCCTAAATCAAAGAGTCTACCCGAAGAGATGGGTGGGGATGAGGCTACAGAGGCAAGCAGAAGGCAAACATAAAATGCCTTGTAGTTCATACTAAAGAATGCCAGTTGTTTCTAAAAGTTTTGGAAAGGCACTGATGTACATTAAGCAGGCGGATGAGATTATTGGGGATATGTTTTGGAAAGATTGTTCTAGTGGGAGAGAAAATAAAACATTGGAGTGAGGGGTCAATAAGAAGGGATGCAAGAGACCTGTAAGAGACTGATTCTGAGACATGGCTATGAGACTAAATGGGCAAAACATCTTGATTGATTGAATATGGGAAATGAAGAAGCAAGAGGAATTGAATCTGGAATCGCCCTCAGGTTTCTTCTTCAGATGCTGACATTGATCCAGAAAGAGAAGAGAAGTGGAGGAACAGCTTCAGAGTTAGAGTAGTCAAAGACATATGCAATGTTTGACAAATTTAAGTACTAAATGGAACAACCAGATAAAGTGGTCTAGGCTGGACCTTCCTAATTTCTAAAGGTCTACGATTGTAGGACTCCAGAACTTTGATAAACAGTTGAGCTAATCTCAGGAAAAAAGATATTGCTTAAAAATGGAGTTCGAGAGAATGACTTAAAGAAGTGGAGCTGGTTAGCTCAAAAGAGATTTCTTAAATCCGTGAAAATTGCTTATACTTTGTCTACACAATAATGACGATAGTGGCATAAATTAGAGTTGGTAATTTCAAATTTTAGTTATTGTTCTGTAGTCATTCATATATATTACATAATTTTCTAAAGTGGGCAATAATACCCATTTGCCAATGGGCTGCTCAAGTTATAGCACAGATGTGGTTTTATAATAGAGTTATCCTATGCCACTTCCTATGTCTGTATCAAAATCACTATACCTATCCTTATTCAATATGGAGAATGGGTATGGAAGAAATAAACAGCTTAATATTTACCATGCAATAGGTTTGTCATTTCTGGGTGAAAAGGGAACAACTTTCACATAACAAGGAGACTTACCAGATTTGGGATAGGTGGCAATGACAAGGTCATCTGGTCTTGCTTCGAATGCCTCCACATCATCCCAAAATTCAACAAAATCTTTATACATTAGAATTCCATGGATTCTGCCAAAGTATGAAGAACTGTCAAATTTGGAAGAATCCATCATACAGTGGTACACTGAAAGAGAAAACATATATTTTCCACTTTGTATGTACTTTAAAATGTTTTAATATTAATAATAGCTCTGAATATTGAGGTCCTCTTGAGAGTGTAGCATTTCTTAGCTGTTGAGTATTTGGGTTAAAGGCATATTAAAGAAGTATGTGGCATATTCTTGGTGCTTTAATAGTTTCTCTTCCTATTAAGGAGATAAGTCTAACATAAAAGAATAATAAAGTACGAGACACTGTCAAGTAAAATGTTTAAAACTATCTACAGAAGGTGTGATACATTTGTATTATCATGTTTATAGACAATATTTATATATAATAAATTCCAAGATGAATGAAAAAGACAGAGCCCTAAATTTCTATGTCAAAATTGAAGGGGCATTTAAGAAGACTAAGAAGTTCAGAAATACAGCAATATTTGACAAAGAATCACTTTGATTAATTATGTATACATCAAATAACAATAAAGATTAATGGCCATATTTGATAGCTATTACCAGAGCTCAAAGTCAGAGTTTCTGTATTTCCTGAATATGTTTCATTAAGTGAAAAAGTTAAAATACTTGATGAGTGTATTCAAAGAAGATGAAATTGATGACACTGTAAGGAATATATCTAAGACATGGATCCTTGAGAGAACAGAAGTTTCTTCTGGGACCTCTGACATTTCTTTTACTTCTCTCTCTCACTGGATCCGTAAATTAGTGGACACTGCCATTGAGTGAGTTGTCTGAAAATTATAAGATTACACAAGATATTTATCATTTGATAATTCAAATCCTGATCCTGTGACAACCCACTTCATGTTCATGACTAGTCATAGAATTTTTAATTAAGCAAGTTTCCTTCCTTGGCTTTCAACTCCTTTCACTCTTTTTTTTCCAAACTTACCCCTTTCTGATTTTGTGATATGGCATCTCAACAAACTTTGTCCTTCTTTGGTATTAGCCTTTCTAGATCTCCCTTTTATCCACCCTTGCCCAAAAAGCTGCCTGGTAAGTTGTCGTACATTCATACATTTGTGACAGGTGCAGCTTTTATTGTCTTTTTCAGAGAGTTTGTATTATAACAGGAGCCTCTTGGAGGCAACAGTTCTAGTCTCCTAATGTATTTCCTTTAATACAGACAATCCCAATCCCTGAGAGAGCACTGAGAAGACGAAATGAAATTAGTAGATACTGTAACAAATTAGTAGAATTAAATTAGTATTAAATTAGATCAAATTAAATTTAAATCTAATTTAATTTGATTTAATTTAATTTAATTAGAATTAGTAGAATGAAATTAGTAGATACTATACCCAAAGGAAGAAATATCTGATGGTCAAATTTTAGGAAGGTAAGTGACTACAAATGAAACCAAATAGACCCTTGACTTATCCTGAAGGCTTCTTCTGATAGTGTTTTCCTCGCTGCATTTCTAGGCTGCACATTACAGATGAAAACATTCGCATAGTACCTCCTTACTCTCCCTCACCAACACGTGGCTCTCAATGCCATCGATTCCATTTTCATTATTTTCCTCTCTTTCTACCTTTATTGTCACTGCCTTAGTTCAGAACCTCTCCAACTGTTGGTTGAATATGAAAATAGTGTTCCAACTGGCCTTCCTGTAAAAAGTGCATTTCTCCTCTTTCTACAACCAGCAGAAGAAGGAAAACAGATGTTATTTACTAAGCACTTACTTTGTGCCAGACTTGAAAAGTTTTATTTTACAATCGTATTTTCATGTTATAAAATTCTGTGAAAAAGCAGACAATATTCTCAGTTTGGTTGTTTGTCCTGTCCCAGAATCCTTGAGGACTGACCATATTTGTCTTACTCTAGGAAGGATAAATATGCACATATTTACACACGTTTGTAAACATGTACATGCAAATATCCTTATTTTCGACACATAATTGTTGACAAAGTTAAATATACAGAAAATGAAAGTGCTTTCTTTATTCTAATCTCAAGAGATAATTACTCCTAATAGTATTACATTTATTTATCCAAATATTTAAATATTTATAGAATCTATACACATGTATATAACAATTTGTATTATATTTTACATTCATTTTGTCCTTTATTTTTTCACTGAACTACATAATGTGAATATATTTTGGTGTTGATGTGTAAATTCTATCTTTATTCTTATAAATGACACACAGCAGTCCATACTATGGATGGAACATAGATGATACAATTCTTTATTGTTGGAAATTCCTGTTGTATCCAACTTTTTTTGGTATAAGTATCACTGCAATGTCTTCAGCATATGTCTTTCACACTTATCTTTACATGACAATGGAATTGCCAAAGTAACACACATACACGTGGAAGATACAAATTTTTTTTAACAAACCAATGAAGATTGTAACAATTTTACAGTCTATGAAATTGCCTATATTTCCACATCCTCACTAGGACTGGAAACTACTTGTTATAATCTTTCATGATTGAAAACTTATTTTTTTAGGGAGCTGGTCCCATTACCTAGTGTTTAAGTTCAGTATGCTCCCCTTCAGCAGCCCAGATTTGGTTCCTGGGTGTGGACCTACACCGCTCATTGGCAGTCATGCTGTGGCAGTGACCCACATGCAAAATAGAGGAAGATGGGCACAGATGTTAGCTCAGGGCAAATATTCCTCAGCAAAAAAATAAAAAAAATATATATATATATTTTAAATCTGCATTTTATAGACATTTTGTAATTTTCCTGTTTTTATAGTTTGTAAGTTTTTTTTGGGGGGGGAAGATTAGCCCTGAGCTGATATCTGTTGCCAATCTCCCTCTTTTTTTGCTGAGGAAGTCTGACCCTGAGTTAATATCCATGACCATCTTCCTCTGTTTTAAGTGGGACGCCTGCCACAGCATGGCTTGACAAGCAGTGTGTAGGTCCACACCTGGGATCCGTGAACCCCAGGCAGCCAAAGCAGAAGGTGCAAACTGAACCACTGCACGACCAGGCCAGCCTCTATAGTTTGTAAGTTTCTTGGTTATTTTATTCTATTTGATCCATTTTGCCCATGAGGAGTATTGCTTTTTCCTAACTTATTTAAAGTTAGTAATTTATTACTGATTTATATATTGATAGTATCTATAGTTTTTTTTGTGTTATATTGCCAGTTATCTTTTAACTTTTTTAGTGGTGTTGTATAGAAGTTTATTATTCATGTAATAAAATGTGTCAAATTTTTGCCTTATGGTTGGTATGTTTGCCTAAAACTTTAAATATGCTCATTTAATGAGAAATACATATGTGTTAAAAGTTTATGCATTCATATTCATTTAGATGATTAATATGTACCTGGCAGAGAATATGGTTATTAAGACTGTGGGCTCTACAGTAGGCCCTCTTGGTTTAAATCTTAGCTCTGCTATTTGAAGTTGTGTGATCTTGGCAAATTACTGTAGCTCTGCTCTGCTCCATTTTCTCATCTACTAACTGAGGATGAGAATAATTATAATTCTTACAAAAAGCAGTTATTGAAACTTAAATGAGAGGATAAGCCTGACAATTATAAATGCTTAATAAGTGTAAGCTTATCTTGTTATTATGCCAAGTCTGTATGATAATGCAGAGGAGCCAGTCACTTTAAAGTCACTCAGTAACAGTACACATTACATGGCACTATCTCTGTTCAAAGCAGGGAAATATTTGTTCTCAAAAATTCTGAAAAGTGAGTTTCATATATATAAACTTATCTGGAGAAACTTATAGTCAATAATCTGTTTTCTCACTGGAGAGGATAAAATCTATACATGTCCAATCTGATTTTTCTCCTGTTTGTTTGCTTCTCTAAAGTTCTCTGGGACAACCCAGCATGACATTCATTTCATTTTGGTCCCAAATTGCATACCAGAAAGAAGGTACAATGAAAGATTTTTTCATTTGTTTATTTGTTTTTAACCAAAGAATGGCTTAACATGTGTTTTGGAAACCACACATTGACACTAGTCAAAGTTGCTCTTACCAAAAAGGAAAAGATTCCCAGTCCCTGAGGACAAACTCAACTCTTTCCAAACCTCCCTCGCTGGTAAATCAGATGCAATCTCACCAAAATGATGAAATTTTCATTAAAAATCAGTCTTGCTGATAAATCGGCTTGTTTCCCAAATCTTCTCATTGCTCTCAGAAAATAGATCTTTCACGAGAAGCAATGTGTATGAAAGACGTCGCTTGCTCTGCCTACTGATTTGTTTATTCACGTGAACAATTTTTCTTGATGTTTTGCCCACTTTGTAAGAATTCCCTTATAGTCAATTGGGAGCAGCTGATTTATCATTAAACAATTGGCTGACTTCTGGCATCCCTTTCACAGTCAATGTTGGTCTGACTTAACCTAGGTGTCGTATAATAAAATCTCTTTCTTTGTTTAACTTCCTTTGGTAAATTATCTCATATTACAATGTATAGATTCACCCTCTAGCTGCTCTCTTCTTTCTCAAAGGTATAATTCATCTGAAATTGTTAATTTCATTTCCTGAGTGTGTAGATTACTGTTGTCTAGAAACACCAACAAAAAATTGTTAAACTGTGATTCATAAATTCAATTGAATTAAGAAATCTTTTTTCTTCTTTCCTTTCTCTTTACTTCTTCTTTCCTTCCTCCTTTTCTTTCTCCTTTTCTCCACCTTCCCTTCTCCATCCCCTAATCTGCCTTTCATCCAGCAAATGCTATGTGAGTGCTTACCTTGTTCGCAGGCGCAGAGGTAAGTGCTGAGATACCACAGTGAGTACAGATGCATAGGGCTCATTGAGTCCTCACTGTCTTGGACTTACCTGGATTAGGGTAAAGTGGCTGAAAAAAGAGAATATCCTTTTGTGCATCTTTCTATCTATATTCAGTGCTATGTCACAAAGTAGATGCTTCACAAATACTCGTTAAACTTAATTGTTTGATCAAATCCTTCTGGGCTTTCTAGTTTTTACTAGGGACTCTGAGATAAAATAAGTACCTTCCTGTCAATGCTTTACCAAGCACTTGGGCTTCTCCTCTTGTTTATTGGATGCCTCCCACTTAAAAGTAACAATAGTATTTGCAAGGCTGCTGGTAGTAATAGAGTGCTTCTGACATATTTCACAAAAGTGAACACGAGCCTAGAAGCCAGTCTCCACTCTGTTTCTACCCTGCTAGCTTTGTTTCCTCCTTGGTAAAATGGAGACCATGTCTAGCATGCAAGACTTGCAAGGCAGCCTTGATACTGTCTATGTTAAAACTCTTTAAAGAGCAAAGTACTATATAAATGCAAAACGTTATTTTTAATGACAAAAGAGTGATTAAAAAGGCTTTAATGCTTTACATTATTAAGTAACTAAAGTTATAATATTGATTATATTATAATCAATAAAGTTTTAATATTGATTATAAGATTGATAAAGAATTTATTCTCTCTATATTTCCTTTTTTAACAGCTTTGTGCTATATAATTTGCATTCTATACATTTAGATAAATGTATAATCTATCTATTATACATATAAATGTATAATTTAGATAAATAGATAATTTAAACATTAATATCAACAATAATAATAAAAATACAACCTGTCCAGATGATCCTGTGAAAGAAACTTGATGGTCCAGTTTAGTTTTCTTAAAATTCCCACTCAGGTTGTGAGCTGCAAAAAGTTTTAAGACCACTTGCTCCTTTTGAATGTTTCTGGTGAGCTTTTATTCTGAATCCAGAGAAGGAGGCAGAGTTTAATTTGAGGGGTTTGGCTTTCTGGAGCATGTGACTCAATGGAGTAGAACAAATATGGATACACACCTGCAGATACATTTAGCCACGCTGAGTCATGCTCATTCATACAGAGATGTAGAAAGCCTCTGCTGTTATTTTTCCTTCTTGGCTCATAATCAAATTCCTAAATTTGCCAATAGCCATCAGTGTGTTGAAGACAGAGAGAGGGGAAGCTAAGGTGACAATGAGGGAGAAAAGATTTGAGACAAAATAAAGAGAGCTCGGAAAGGGAGAGTCCCTTGCTCCTTCACTGATGAATGATAAAATGGGTGAGGTACCTTCAAAAGAATAACTTGCTTGAGGAGTTAAAGGAGACAATAAAATGACAGGGAAGAAGCAGGAGGGCAGCAAGGACCCTGGATCAGGAGACCCGGCTCAGTTTACTGAGACCTGTCAAAGAAGACTTTGTAGTACTTGGTTGTGTCCTAACACGTCAAGTGGAAAACACCTTCTATTTAAAATCTTTGCCTTTAACTCTTCAGCATCATTAAAAATCAAAAACACATGACAGGTAAGGAAAGAATGTAAACATCACTTACCTTTGAATTATTACTTTAAAAATCTCACTTGTCTCTGCTCCCAAACGCATTATTAATGGGATGATGTGGATTTTCCAAGTAAAGTTAGCTATTGGCACCATTGGAATTCAGAGAAGAGAATGAGAAAAATAAAAGGCCAAGGATTTGTGGAACCTGTGAATCCCCCGCCTTTCTTCTTTTCATGTCTCTAAACCTACTCTGTTGAGTTGAGAAAATTCTTCCTTGCTCCCACCCCACGACTCCCCTCAATACCTTCAACCCAGTTAGTTGCAAACCTCATTAGTTCTCATTTGTCTTTCAATTCTAATTACATTGAACTTACTTTGAAAGGTCTTTCCTAACTCTTGCAAGACTAAATATCCTTTTGATTGACTTGAAACCCTCCACTTTCTCCTAATTAGCACATATTCCTCAATTGCGCTGTAATTAAAATTTTCTAGTCCAGCATCCTTATTAAACCATACATAGCCTAAAAACACGGCCTTACTCTGTAATTAGCACACTGCATGGCATGTATTAGACTTGGCATTGAATACATATTAAGTGACTGAAAATGGCTGATGTGTTCAAGAAAGATAAGAGGTTAGCACGTCTATCACTGCTAGTTATTGATGGCATTAATATCCAGCCTTAACGAAAGTGAAAGAGAATAGCTAAGTAGTTTCCAAGCATGGGGCTTTTCATGATAGAAAATCAAGGTAGAGCAGGAGTAACCAGGAGCCCAAATTTAGATTTTATGTAGGCAGTCATTTTACTTTTTATATTTAGTGGAGTTAAATAAAATGTGTGTTAACAACATTTAATCATTAAATAAAAAATTTAATAAGGACTGCAATTTTTAACAAAATTGCTTAGCTTACTTTAATTATTTTATTATTTTTCAATAATAAGATTCTGTGAGGCTTCATTTATTGTTTATATAGCATATTATTTCATCCAGAAATTAGAATATGACCATGTTGATGCAAACCAACCAATAACCATTGTATAGATAAGAGAGATAAGGGGAGTTTTACTTGAGCCAAACTGAGGATTATAACCACAGAAGGCAGTTTCCACAGGGGAAGAAAATGTTCTAGGGAAGCATGATTTTTAGTATAGTTTTATAACTTTTTAGAACAAACAACATACACTAAACACACCAAAGTTACACATTCATCAAAGTTTCAAAGAGGTAGCAAAATAGCAGGTCAACATGACCCTGATGTCCAGGAAAGGGAACTTATCTTCAGGAGAATGACTATTTGCATTACCTATACTGATGTCATAGGAGGCAAAGTATGTGTTCTTAAGAGACTGCAGTCTTTTACTTTGAGATAATGTTTAATGCATTCCTTAATGGTTAAAGTAGCTCTATAATGTAGGTTTGATCAGTCATAGGTCAGGCTTCTTTAGTTCAAACTGAGTTTTGAACCAGAATAGCTATCCCATATACCTGAATATGTGAAAATCTCTTGTCCAGCTCAACCTCATCTGAACAGGTTTACCTTCAGGCCATCTCGCTTGTCTTTCACTTGTAAGCAATTGGCTACAGGGATGTTACAAATGCTTCTAAATCATGTGATGCTGGCAAACAGCAAAGTTCAAAACACATTTAGCCTCAGAAGATCTTCCAAATGATGAGGATGCACTTGCTGGTAAAAATAAAAACAATATGCAAAATGGCCTCCTTAACCTTCATCCTTCTCCATGAGAAATGAGTACAAAGGAAGTTATAAAATGTTTGAGTCCGTGGTCTGACCTTTCCTCCTTTGTCCACTTAATCTAGAAAAAAATCCCAGGTAAGCACCTACTTTTAAAAGGTTTATCTTGACATTTAGAATTTGGGCTGGTCTGATATCAAACTGCTATCATACTCCAAAATGCTGAAAACAAATATGAGACTGGCATGTCTGTGTGAGAAATGTTCCCAAGACAATGGCTGTTCGCTATTTGTGATCACTGAGCTTTTCATTTTCCTTCCGTATCACACAGTTACTTCTTCTGGGTTGAGTTTGAGGATTCTAGCATCTTATTTATAAATGACAAGATTTCAATATTAACAGTGAAAAAATAAGTGGTAGCATCACCAATTGGTTCTTTTTTACTTAAATGACTATTTTCTAGAACAATTTTGGGTTTGCAAAAAAAACTGAGCAGATAGTACAGAGAGGTCTGACATGTCTGTTCTCTCCTGTACAATTTCCCCTCTTTATTAACATCTTGCATTAGTGTACATTCGTTAGACTTGAAGAACCAATATTGATATATTAGTATTAAATAAAGTCCATAGGTTACATGAAGGTGCACTTTTTGCATTGTTCAGTTTATGGGTGTTGACAAAAGCACAATATCATGCATCTGCCATCATAGCATTGTAGAAAATAGTTTCACTTCCCTAAAATCTCTCGTGCTCCATTTATTCATCCTGCCTCCCTTACTCTGAAATCCTGACAACCACTCATCCTTTTCTTGTCTCTACAGTTTTGCCTTTTCCAGAATGTCAGATTCGGGAATATGTAGCATTTTAATATTGACTTCTTTGACTTAGCGACATACATTCAAGGTTCTATGTCTTTTTTGCCTGATAACTCATTTTTTTTTATTGCTGAATAATAACCTGTTGTCTCAACGTACCAAAGATTGTTTATTCATTCAAATATTGAAGGACATCTTGACTGCTTCCAATTCTTCCAATTATGAATAAAGCTGCTATTAACAATCATATACAGGGTTTTGTGTGGATGTAAATTTTCATCTCATTTCAGTAAATACTTGGGAGTGGAATTCCTGGATTTTATGGTAAGACTATGTCTAGCCCCTTTTAAGAAATTGCCTCAGTGGCTATACCATTTTGCATTTCTACCAGGAATAAATGAGAACTAGTGTTGCTCCACATCCTGGTAGCATTTGGTACTGTCTGTTTTGGATATTATCCGACTAAGAATTAAACTGTGTTTAATGTTTACTGTAGTTGTAACATCACAGACTTCGATTTCCTCTAGTGCCCTTGTTTTGTCTCCTCTGTTATCTCTCTACCTCCCATCCTCCCAACCGCCACCATCCCACGTCTGCATCCCCCAGCCTCTATTATCAGACAGGAAGGCCAGAGGGGACTGTAGTAGGTATTTCCCTTCCCCAGGTCGGGTAAGTTTCTGGTAAGGTCTTTCTCCATCACGAGTAGGACTTTGTTGTGGAGAACACTCCAGATTTATTTGTAAATGGTTATTTTTTGCCCTACCCCTCTTGAATACAAGAGGATTTTTCTCCACTCATAATAACCATGTGAGAATCCTGAGTGTAAAACTCAACAAAAGCATGGGTATCTCTGAGACTGGGCCCCCAGGACTTCTTAACTCTTGAGCTCATGCACTCTCAGCCTCCAGGATTTTATCAGTTACCATTCAATTGTTCCTAACAGTTCCTGACACCAGTGGCTTCTACTCTCATTGGCTCCTTCTATGTATTTTCCTGTCTCTCCAATTTTGGGGGCTGCACTTTGCCCTGTAACCTCATTTCTCTGATGGATTTAAGAAGAATTGCTGATTTCCAGTTCAGTTTTTTCTTATAAGGGTGGGAGTGACTATTTACAAGCTTTTTATATGTCAGAGCTGACACCAGGAGTCTGACTGCACTTTAATGCATCTATGTAGCTTTATTTTTATATTCTATAACTCTAAAAGGTAAAAGTGGCTACAGTCTTCTCTCATTCATTAAAACCCCTGGGAGTTGTATCAGAAAAGACAGACGTAATCAGTAAACTTTTCTTAGCACTTATTTGAGCACATAGGTAATTTGAAATGCCAGCTATCTTGCATGCCAAGAATTTTAATTTCAAAACTCAGCATCTTTATTTCATCTAAGTAAAAGTAAATCTTCTTGAATTCAGATTTTTTGTCAATGTCAAATTTAGTAGTTGATCTTTTCATTGTCATTTATGTGAGGTACGTTCCTGCTGAGCAATTGTTAGAGTTAGCTTTAAAACTCAGAACAGTAGTGGTTGGCCTATAAATTGTACTGTTAATGTCATATCTAATTATTTTAACAACTTCATATATTTGAAAGTAATAAACTATGTATAATATAGATTATAATTCATATTCTTTTACTACATGGGTCATCACACACTTAATGTAGCATTAAAAAAATGGCACTGATAATTTTGTAAATACTTTTGAAAACCCTCACATTAAGGTCCCATTTTTGTGATTTTATTTATTTTGTGGGGATTTTTGCCCCTTGAATTCAAGCAGGTATCAGCAGGCAGGAAGATTGCAAAGTCGTATTTTTCTCTTATTGTTTCAATTCCTTTCCTCCTCAATGGGTCTAATTCTCAAAGATGGTATCAATATGAAGTTTCAAGTGTCCTCGTTTTACCGCTTTCTGAACACTGTACTCCCAATCCTGGTAAATT